GGCTTCCAAAAGGCGCTGAAAGGGCCCCGCAAGGCTTCCAGACGCTGGTGATAATGACAATGATGATTATGCAGGGCGGCCTCAGGCCCACAACCTAAATCCCCAATACTGCCCACGCGGCATGCAAGACGCTGCGGAGATATCCTCGAGTTCGGCGGGGGAGCTTCGGAGACGACGGTGACGAAAATGATGACGATGATGACGACTATTATGAAATTGACGACGACGATGATGATGATGAGGAAGAATATTATGATGATGATGTTGACAGTGGGAATGATGATGCTGATGCTGATGATGATGATATTGATGATGGTGATCGTGATGTGAGTGATGGTGATGATGATGATGATGATGGTGGTGATGCTGACGATCATGATGACGATGACGGTGATGCCGTTGAGGATGGTGATGCTGACGATCATTATGATGATGCTGCTGATGGTCAGGATGATAACGCCGATGCTGATAATAATGGTGGCGATGCTGTTTATGGTGCTTGTGATGCAGGAGTGGGCGGATGATGAAGATGACGACGATGATGATGACGATAACGATGACGACGATCACGACGACGACGACGAGAATGGTGACGGTTGCGATGATGAGGATGATTATGTTGATAATTCAGGTGACGATATTGACGATGATGACGACGATGGCGATGATGACGATGGTGATGACGATGTTGCTGCTGATGGTGGTGATGGTGACGATTGTGATGATGGTGATGGTCATGGTGATGATGACGATGCCACTGACGATAACGCCGGATATGATGGTGATGAGGATGGCGATGATGACGATGACGATTATCTCATCTAGAACTTGGGCGCGCGCGAAGCGCACGCGATGGTTCTAGTGTATATATATACCGTGGTCTTACAACCAATACTCGTTCTATTTTTATGTACTGCTCTTACTAGTGGTAGTATTACTACTCCGACTACGACTACGACGATAGCTACTACCTCTACTACTACTACTACTACTTCTTCTATTGCTACTGCTACTAGTACTACTATCCATATTAGTACTAAAATTACTACTAGTATTATTACTAGTACAGCTACGACTACATCCAGTATTGCTAGCACTAGTGCTAGTTCTTTGCTACTATTCTAAGCACCATAACTATGATCGCTACTACTATCATTTTTACCATTTTTATTCGTACTATTCGTACTACGACTACTGCTATCATTATTGCTATTGTTCTCATTGCTTCCACGACGACGACAACTACTACTACTGTTGCTACGACTACTACTTATACTATTACTACTAATAGTATTACAACGACCACGACGACGACTACTACCACTACTACTACTACGACGACTAGTAGTAGTATTATTATTGCATTAGTCGTACTAGTAGTAGTAGTAGTAGTAGTAGTAGTAGTAGTAGTAGTAGTAGCAGTAGTAGTAGTAGTAGTAGTAGTAATCGCAGTAGTAGTAGTAGTAGTAGTTAGTAGTAGTAGGACTACGATTGCTACTACCACTACTGCCACTATTATTACTACTACAAGTACTACTACTACTACTATTACTACTACTACTACTACTACTGCCTCAACAAAAACAACAACAACTACTACTACTACAACAGCTTACTCCTAGTAGAAATACTACTACTACTACTGCTACGCTTACTGCGTTTACTCCGTTGCTACGTGTAATATGAACACTATTACCATTTTTATCATTCGTATTATGACTACCAGGTTGACGACCACTACGACTGCTACTGTTACTACTTCTCCTATACCTGCTACTTTTACTATGTGTTCTCCTCGCCGTCCTCCTCCTCCTCCTCCTCCTCCTCCTCCTCCTGCGACGACCAATAGTACTGCTGTAATTATTCGTACCACTACTACGGCGACGACGATTACTGCGACGACGACGACGAAGACGACGACGGATACTACCACTACTACGACTACTACTACTATGTCTCGTATTATTACTACTGCAACGACTACTACTAGTACTGCTACTACGATTATCGGTGGCAATGTCACGGTTTTCATCAATATCATTGCAGCTACATAAAGACCTACTACTACTTCGACTACTACTACTACTACTACTACTACTCTACTACGACTACAGCAACAACTAATACTATTATTACTGCTACTACCACTACTACTACTACTACGACCACGAACGTTACTACTACCATCACGCCTACTATCACTACTTTCACCAGGATTGCGACCGCGATGACTACGACTACTAGGACTACTATTATTATTACGACTACCACGGCTACAATTATTATTGCTATTCGTATTAGTACTACTCCTACTACGACTACGACCATGACTACGATTACGGTTGCGACCCCGGGTATGATTCTATATTTCCCCTATGATCTCATCATTCCCCATATTACTACTACTAGTAGTACTACTGCTACCACTAGTCGTACTATCTGTACGACTTTTACTACTGCCACGACTGCGACTACGTCTACGACTACTTTTGCGAATATTTCCACTAGTACTACTGCTACTGCTACTGCTACTACTGCCACTACTACTACTACTACTACTACCACTACTACTACTAGTACGACTACTAGTACTACTACGGCTACTACTTCCACTACTACTACCACTATTACTACTACCACTATTGCTACTACTACTACTACTTCTATTACTACAGCTATGATTTGTTTAGTTCTACAACTACTACTACGATGACGATGACGGCGACGACTACTACTACTACCACCACCACCACTACGACTACTACTACTACTACTACTACTACTACTACGACTACTACTACTACTACTACAACTACTACTACTACTACTACTTGTGCTGCTACCGCTACTACTACGACTACGACTACGACGGCGACTACTACTACTACTACCACTACTACTACGACTACTACTACTACTATTTCTACCACTACTGCTACTACTACTACTACTACTACCACGACTAGTACTACTACTGATACTTTTATTGTTACTACTACTACTACTACTACGACTACTACGACTACTACGACTCCTACGACTACTACTACTTCTACTACGACCACTACTACTACTACTACTGCTACTATTACTACTACTACTACTGCTACTACCTACTACTACTACTACTACTACTACCACTACTGCTACTACTACTACTACTACTTCTACTTCTAATTCTAATACTAATACTACTGCTACTACTACTACTACTACTACTACTACGACGACGACGACGACTACTACTACTACTACTACTACTACTACTACTACTACTACCTACTACCTACTACCTGCTACCTGCTACCTGCTACCTGCTACCTGCTACCTGCTCACTACTACTACTACTACTACGTACTACTACTACTACTACTACTACTACTACTACTACTACTACTACTACTACTACTACTACTACTACTACTACGACTACTACTACTACTACTACTACTACTACTACTACTACTACTACTACTACTACTACTACTACTACTACTACTACTACTACTACTACTACTACTACTACTACTACTACTACTACTACTACTACTACTACTACTACTACTACTACTACTACTACTACTACTACTACTACTACTACTACTACTACTACTACTACTACTACTACTACTACTACTACTACTACTATGTGTGCGTCGCCCCCCAGGGGCGACGCGCGCCGAGAAGTCATATGGTATATGCGTCGTGGCAGGCGCTTTCTGGCCGTGCTGGTCGGGAAAGGATCTATTACACGAGTAGTGTACTGGGTGTTCGGGTCGGACGCCCGCCTACGTGGAAGACAAATAGTTCTAATATGTCCTTCTGCGTCCCCTGGGGTCTGCCCCGAATGCTCCTCCCAGCCGCGCCCAGCCGTGGCGGCGGGAGCCCCAGGAACGCCAATAAAGCGCCCGAGGCTTCGTCGCCCTGTCCCCTTCGGGCGCACCGCCTCGGAGGCGCGGTGGCGCGACGGGGCCATCACTCCGAGAATCCAGGGCACCTCTCAGAAGCAAGGAATCCTCCTTCTCTCCCCCCTCCCCCTCCTCCTCCTCCTCCTCCTCCTCGTCGTCGTCGTCGTCCCCCTCCTCCTCCTCCTCCTCCTCCTCCTCCTCCTCCTCCTCCTCCTCCCCCTTCGCCTCAGCCCCTTCTCCCCCCCTGGAGGGTTCCTTGTCTGATGAGGGCGGCGGTGGTATCGATGGCCAAGTCCTAGTTGGAGTTCCACCTCATACCAGACACCGGATACCTTATCGAAGGGCTCCTTATCCAATGCCCTCACCGTGCAGGCTCCTGAGAAGCCTCCAGTCTCTTTCGAGGAGTTCCCTGCCCTCGCAGGCCGCCACCCGCCTCGCCCCGTCCCCCGCTTCCGCAGGAGGCGCTAACACACCAACGCCATGCCCGGCCAGGGCCATCTTTGGCAGTTTGTGCCAGGCCAGCAGGGCGCAAGCACCATGCCACGACCCTTGGCAGCCCTGGCCAGAGACGGTGGCGGTGTGTCGCGTGATGCACGGTGCCAGCTGGAGGCCCCCAGAGGTCTCCAGACGTCCTCGGGATATCTACCAGCTTCTGGTGGCCTCCCAGAGTCTTCCGGAGTCCAGAAAAAGGACGAGCGCTGCAAAGGCATCGACTTTCGATCCTCTGACTGCCGCCACTCTGCGGCACCCCTTTTAGCCCGCCCAGCGTCTGAGCCCGCTCGGGCGGCTGACCGAGCGGACTCAAGATCGAGCCCACCAGGCGGCCGAACGGGCTCGACCCGAACGACCATGTCAGATCTGCGCCCGCTCGGCTGCCCGTCCGGCGGCCAGGCGAGCTCAGCCGCCAGAGATCTGTGGACGCCGAGCGGGCTCGGAGGGAGAGGAGGAGGAGGAGGAGGAGGAGGAGGAGGAGGAGGAGGAGGAGGAGGAGGAGGAGGAGGAGGAGGAGGAGGAGGAGGGAGGGAGGAGGAGGAGGAGGAGAGGAGGAGGAGGAGGAGGAGGAGGAGGAGGAGGAGGAGGAGGAGGAGGAAGGTGCAACCTTCACGGCGTACCCGCCCGGGGCCGCCCCGGGCTCCGACTCCTTGCGCCGCTTCTGCGCCGCGGTGTGCGACCGCCTGCGGCGCGGCGACGTCGTGGCCATGGCCTTCACCGCCCACCAAACCACCCGAACCCAACCCGAAGGCCCCGATTGGCCCCCCATATCCAGCGTGGGGAGGGGTCGGGTAGCATTGAAAAAACACACACCTGAAGCCCGTACCCCCCCAGCCCGAACTTCGGGTCTTCGGGCTGGGTTGGGGGGGTCTGGTGGGCCGCCAGGCCTGCCGCGGCCCGGACGCGGTGAGCCACGCGCTGCGCGCCCTGTGCGAGCTGCAAGACCACGCGGCGGAGTTCGGCGTGCGCATCGTCGGGCGCTCCGGCAGGCGGTGTGCCGCTGGCCCGGCCGGGCCCGGGGGGCTCCCAGATCTCCAAGAGCATGTCTTCGGCGTCACCCAAACATACTTGGAACTATGTGTGCGTCGCTCCCCGAGAACCTTTACAGTACATGCGTCGTGGCGGGGCGGCCCCGAGTGGTGGCCTCTGAGTCGGGCGTTGCGTAAATGGGGGGGCGATCAATGGGGGATCCCTGAGATCCTGGCGTTACATTTTTTTCACGACTGGCGTTTTCGGTATTTTTTGGGGGGGCTCCGGGACCCTCACAGATCGATCCGGCTTGCAAAATGACGCAGAAAGGTGGGGTCTAGGGCTCCGGGCGTGATTTTTTGCAATGCCCCATTTATTTCGCAACGTCGGATCTCAGGGGTGAAGGAAGGGGCACCTCTTGTGTCCTAGAAGGGCACGAAAGTTGCACGTTAATCCACCCTCATTAGTTGGGGCGTTCCCAAGAGTCAGGAGGGGAAAAAACACACAGACACAATTAATCGTCGATTCCCCAGAAAATATGTGAAAATATGGGAATTGGGGGGGAAGACAAAAACCCAGAAACTATAGGAAAATATGGTGAATCTTTTTATTTGTGTGTATTTATTTGTGTGTCCCAGGGCCCCTTCAAAGAGTGCCTTGCCGTCGAGGGTCGAAGGAGTTGCCATCTCTTCCTCGGCGGAAGCCGGCGGGAGGACGGCGGAAGGTCGGCGGAAGTACAGCGAGGCCGCCTGCGCCGGCGGAAGCAGGCGGCCGGCGGAAGCTCGGCGGAAGGGCGGCGGGAGTGAAAGATGTGCCCCTCCAGTAACGCCCAACTGAGTTGCCGCTCAGTGCTTAGGAAGAAGATCAGAGCCCCGAATCATCAGGGGTAACTCGGGTCAGGGATAACTCGGGTTCGTTTCTCGGGAATCCAAACCCGAGTTACCCCGGACCCGAGCTACCCCGGATAACTCGGGCGTCCAGAGCCCCGAATCATCAGGGGTAACTCGGGTCAGGGCTAACTCGGGTTCCTTTTCCGGGAATCCAAACCCGAGTTACCCCGGACCCGAGTTACCCCGGATAACTCGGGCGCCCAAGAAGAATCCGCTCAGTGCTTCCCCCAGCGCATTTGGATCACCTCAAGCACACGCCTTTTGAGGAAACTGGCTCGCAGTCCGTAACAGTGGCATCTTGGTGTCTGAGAAAACAGTAACGCCCAACTGAGTCCACCGCCGCAGCTTGTCCATGGCCACCGCCTCGGGGTCGTGCCTCGGGGCCTCGAGGGTCTCTCTTGCGGAGAGGTGGGTGCAGGCGCCTGTCTGCCCCAGGCAGGGCGGGAAAGCATCTGTACCCGCCGCTTCCCAGGGATCCAGCGCAGGGTCGCGTGCGATTTCTCGCCCCCAGTCCCCGAGTTCCCCCCGAAGAAACTGGCCGCTCAGAAGCGAAGGGCAGCGCGAGGCTGCACCCCCCACGGGGCCATTCGGGCGCGCCTCCTTCGAGGATGGACGCCCCCCCGTCGTACATCCCCAGATCAGTCTCCAAATTCCTAGTCCAGTCGAGAGCACCTCAGAGTTGGGGATTTGGGTCGCCCTACCCCCCGTTGCAGGGCTTCGGCAGCCGTGGATGTAGATCCTTCCTGGGCGTGGCTGCTTCCTGGAGGGGACGCCTCGGGAGGTGCACTGCAGCGTACTGTCTGTAGGGTGAAGTCGGGAGCATTAAAAAATAGGAGAAAAAAGGCTGGGGGCCATTTCTCCATAATATTTTCGCCCAATCAGAGCCTCTGTGGGGGTCCTAGCGGACTCATATGGTTAGGTTAGGTGTGCCGACGATTTCCGCGGCCCGCCCGGGTGCCCGGGTGCCCGGGTGCCCGGGTGCCCAGGTGTCCAGGTGTCCAGGCGCCTGGTTGCCCCCGTGCCCGGGTGCTGGGTGCCTTATAGCCTTATAGCCATATAGTCTTCTACGGCTATACCCCTAACGCCCTATAGCCCTATAGCCCTATAGCCTTATAGCCCGATAGCCCCATGGCCCATTAGCCCAATAGCCCTATAGCCCTATAGCCCTATAGCCCTATAGACCTAGAACCTTATAGCCCTATAGCCCTATAGCCCTATCGCCCTAGAACCCTATGGCTCTATTGCCCTATAGCCCTATAGCCGTATAACCCTATAGTCCTATAGCCCTATAGCCCTATAGCCCCATAGCCCTATAGCCCTGTAGCCCTATATCCCAATAGCCCAATAGCCTTATAGTCCTATGGCCCTAGATTTCCATATAGTCTTGTGGTTCTATAGCCCTATCGCCCCATAGACCTATGGCCCTATAGCTTTATATATAGATGTATGTATTTTTATATATATATATATATATATACACGTACAGCCCTATAGCCCTGTAGCCCCATAGCCCTGTATCCCTATAGCCCTATGGTTCTACAGCGCTATCACCCCCTAGCTCTATAGACTCATAGCCCTATGGCCGTATAGCCCTACAGCACCATAGCCCCAGAGCCCCATAGCCCCATAGCCCTATAGCACTACAGCCCTATAGCCCTATGGCCTTATAGCCCTACAGCCCCACAGCCCTATAGACCTATAGCCCTATGGCCCTATAGCCCTATAGCACCATAGCCCCAGAGCCCCATAGCCCCATCGCCCTATAGCCCTACAGCCCTATAGCCCTATGGCCCTATAGCCCTATAGCCCCATAGCCCTATAGACCTATAGCCCTATGGCCCTATAGCCCTGTAGTTCCATAGCCGTAGGCCCCATAGCCCCATCGTTCTATAGCCCAATAGCCCCAGGACCAGTTTTTCATCTGGAGTCGTTTCTTGACGGCCCCGAGGCCCAGTGAGGCACTCCCCGGGCCGAAAACAGCGAAACGCCTCTCGTCGTGACTTTTCCGCCACGCGAGGCCGTCTGGGTTCCGGTTCTGGAGCAGGTCCCACGTAGTACTCCAAGTCTGGGAAGCGCAGAGCGCGCGCGCGCCGCCGCCGCGCCCCCGTGGAGGCGTGCCAGCGGCGCGTGCGCTGCCCGCGACGGGGGGGGGCGCGCCCCGCGAATCCTAAAAGGACTTTGATTGAGGTTTTTCTCCGGTATCATACGGTTAGGTGAGGTCTGCCACCGGTTCCGCGGCCCGCCCAGGTGTCCGGGTGCCTGGGTGCCTAGGTGTCGGGGTGCCCGGGTTCCTTATAGCCCTATAGCTCTATAGCCCTATAGCCCCTATAGCCCCATAGCCTTTTAGCCTCATACTCCCATCGCCCAATAGCCCTATAGCCCTACAGCCCAATAGGCCTATAGCCCAATAGCCCTATTGCCTTATAGCCCTATAGCCCTATCGTCCTAGAGCCTCATAGACCTAGAGCCTTATAGCCCTATAGCCCTACAGCCCTGTAGCCCTACAACCCTATAGCCCTATAGCCGTGTAGCCCAATAGCCCAATAGCCCTATAATCCTACCTATAGCCGTATAGCCCTATCACCCTATGGCGTTATAGCCTTATAGCCTTATAGCCTTATAGCCCAATAGCCCTATCGCCCTATAGCCCTATGGCCGTATAGCTCTATATGCCTATTACCTTACAGACCTACAACCCCGTAGTCCTATATCCCTATAGCTCCATAGCCACATGGTCCTATAACCTTATAGCCTCATAGACCTATAGACTTCTATCCTTATGGCCCTATAGCCCTATTGCCCCATAGCCCTATATCCCTATAGCCCCATACTCTATAGCCCTACAGCCCTATAGCCTCATGGCTCCATAGCCCTATGGCCCAATAGCCCTATAGCCCCATAACCCGATGGCGCGATAGCCCTATAGCCCAATAGCCCAATAGTCCCATCACCCTATAGCCCTATAGCCCTATAACCCTATAGCCCTATAGCCCTAAATAGACTTTGTTTGTGGTTTTTCTCCGGTATCATTGGGTAATTTTTCACTACTTCCTATGTTTTCCTTCAAGATCCGCCTGTAGGAGGACATGCCCGCCCTGACTGTAGGGACGATGCACTTACCCTGATCACCAAAGATTCTTCACGGAGGCTCGCGCAGATCTCCGACGCCGTGCTATTCGTTTCAACGTCCCGCTTGCCCTCTCGACCGGCCTCGGGGTGCGATAGGGAATATTCAATTAAAAGGAAAAGCCATCGAGGAGCAGGAGGAGGAGGAGGAGGCAGGGGAGGAGGAAGCGTAGGAGGAGGAGGAGGAGGAGGAAAGGGGAGGAGGAAAGGGGAGGAGGAGGAGGAGAAGGAGGAGGAGTAGGAGGAGGAGAAGGAGGAGGAGGAGGAGGAGGAAGAGGAGGAGAAGAAGGAGGAGGAGGAGGAGGAGGAGAAGGAGAGGAGGAGGAGGAAGCCCCGGAATTGACGTTTCGTCCCGAGCGGTTCTTCCACGGCCCCTGGGCCCCACGAGGGCCCCCGCCAGCCGACAATGGCCCAGAAGCCTCGCGCCCATTTTTTTTTTGGGTTTCGCAGCGCGCGCCGAAGCGGTTTGGCTTTCGAGCCAACGCTGCGGCCTCCAACGGCGGTTCTGGATGACTCAGCCACCTCTGGAACGCCCTCGACGAAGGCGCAGCTGCGGGACATATCCCGAGGCTAGACAGCCCGAGGCCGAAGGGAACGTCCGATACATGTATAGGAAAGGGATCATTGTGATGGTGGTGGTGGTGATGATTCTGATAATGATGCGGATGATGCTGCTGCTGATGATGATGCTGATGATGATGATGCTGATACTGATTGAGATGCTGCTGATGATGATGGGGACGGGGAGGATGATAATCGGGATGCTGATGAGTGTGATATTGTTGCTGACGGTGATGTTGATGATGCTGCTGCTGCTGAGGGTGGCGACGACGACGATGACGATGATGATGCTGATGATGATGCTGCTAATGGTCATACTGATGATTAGGATGATGTTGCTCACGACGACGATGATGATGCTGGTGATGATGATGCTGCAGCTGCTGCTGATGAGGACGATGAGGAGGACGATGCTGATGCTGCTGCTGTTGCAGCAGATGATGATGATGAGGATGGTGATGCCGATTGTAATAGTGATGATGGTGATTATGCTGGTGCTGATGAGGATGCTGACGATTATGCTGTTGATGATGGTGATGCTGATTATGATGATTAGTATGCTGCTGCTGATGTTGCTGATTACGATGATGCTGCTTTTGATGCTGACGATGATGCCGCTGCTGATGATGACGATCATGCTGCTGATGATGCTGATGCTGATGCTGATGATGATGCTGACGACGATGATGCTGATACTGATGATGATGAAGATGATGAGCTGATGCTGATGACAATGATGATACTGATGATGACGATGCTGATGCTGCTGATGACTGTTATGATGATGATTCTGATGATGGTGACGATGATGATGATGATGATGCTGATGATGACGATGCTGCTGCTGATGATGATGATGCTGATGAGGGTGATGATGATGCTGATGATGATGATGCTGATGATGCTGATGATGACGATGCTGATGATGATGATGATGCTGATGATGACGATGCTGCTGCTGATGATGATGATGATGATGAGGGCGATGATGATGATGATGATAATGATGGTGATGATGATGATGATGATGATGATGATGATGATGATGATGATGATGATGATGATGCTGATGCTGATGCTGCTGCTGCTGATGATGATGATGATGATGCTGGTGGTGATGATGATTATGAGGATGTTGTATGGTCGCGTGAGTGTCGAAAGACAATACACTTCTACGTGGGCATAGGCGGGGAGCCGACTGCGCTGGTGCGCAACACCACTATGGACCTCGCAGTGCACTGCGGCGAGAGTTCTTGCAACCCGCCGCGTGTCGCAGCGCTTGCGAGTGAGACAGGCGCGACCTGTCCCATGCATTACAGGCCTGGAAGGACCGAAGCGATGATGGCCCATAGACGCCACCGCCTGAAGAATGGGAACCGCCGCGAGGGAGCCACCGCTGAGGGAGCCGCCGTTCCTCCGCCGGTCGAGCGCCTTCTGGTTGTCGTACAGTTCGTCCACGGTCGTTTCGCGCTTCGCCAGCGTAGGAGCCGCCGCGCGTGGCAGTCCCCTGCGTAGGAGCCGCCGCGTGGAAGCCGCCGCAGTAGGAACCGCCCCTGGGTGGTGTAGGAGCCAACTGCACAGGAGCCGCCGCCGTGGGAGTCGCCTCCGTGGGGGTCGCCTTGGGAGCCGCCGTGGGAGCCGCCGCCGTGGGAGTCGCCTCCGTGGGAGCCGCCTTGGGAACCGCCGTGGCAGCCGCAGCGGGAGCCGCCGCCGTGGGAGCCGCCGTTGGAGCCGCCGCCGTGGGAATTGCCGCCGTGGGAGCCGCCTCACTGTGGACGCCGCCGTCGAAAGAACCGAAACCGTGGGAACTGCCGCCACGGTAGCTTCGGTGGTAGCTGGTGGGGCCCGCCTTTGGAGGAGTCGCAGTCGTGGGCGCCGCCGCCGTCGGGGCCTCGGAACCGCTATCACGGGAGCCACCTCCGTGGGAGCCGTCGTGAGAACCGCCGTGGGAACCGCCGCCGTGGGAGCCGTCTCCGTGGGAGCCGCCGCCGTGGGTGCCGCCTTAGTTAGAGTGACCGC